CTAAGGTGGCGGGTTCGAATCCCCAGCCTGGGCCCACCAAACAACAGTGATGGCTGCAACCAAAAAATGGCCGGCGCTGTGGCGGGCGCCTATAGTCCCAGCTACTTGGGAGGCTGAGGCAGGAGACTCGCTTGAGCCCAGGAGTTGGAGGCTGCTGTGAGCTGTGAGGCCATGGCACTCCTCCTCAGGGGGACAGCTTGAGGCTCCGTCGGAAAATAAATAAATAAATAAAATAAAACAGATTTGCAATCTAAAAACTAACAAATAATTCCCAATTGTGTGTATTATATGCAGAATCTGACTTTTTAGACGGCACACAATACCAGGGCTAGAGGGAAGAAGGAATTACTTCATTTGAAACTGTCATCTTTACTACTTGCTTCTTTGGCTATGACCACACTCCTCTGCTTCTAAACTAAAGAGCAGGACAATGTAGGGTCTATTAGTACCCGGACCCTTTCCCAACCCCCAGCCCCCTGTCTTTTTGTCTCCTAAAGCAGCAGACTCTTACTTGTCTGGAACAGCAGACACAAGGAACAAAAGGCTCAATGACTATTTGACAGATTAAAGAATAGACAACTGTTTTATTTAAAAGCTCCCTAAAGAATTAGAACATTTGAGGCTATACAGTGTTCTGTGGAAATGTAGTTATATATTACCCAGATCTGTAAGCACTTGCCAACAGACCTGTCCAAGTCACTCACTGTATAAAGAGTTTTCAGTTTTCTTTTTTCTCCCCTTTTTTTGTTCCAGATCCATGAATGAGTAATGTGCAGGTGTGTTTTGAGGAGACAGTCCTAATATTTTGAAAAGTCTTTCACACAAATAGCCCCAACAGCTTGAACAGTTTTTCAAATGTTTAAGACAGTGACCATAACTGGACGATCACAGAAAGAACAGACAATGGGCCTTATGTGTGAGTGGTATATAAAGAGTGATGATACAAAATAGCAAGATCATTATTAGGAAACAACAGATCACTCTGTTGTTTAACAACAAAATTAAGGTTTATAAATGATTAGCTATAGTTGTAATAACAAAATGGTGGTTAACAGGAGCAATTCTGGTTCCACCACCTATTAGCAGGGACATCAGGCAAACTGCTTAATTTCTGAAACTTACTTTACTCATCCTTAGATGAACGTTGAGGATTAGTTCTCACAAAAATTAGTTACAATTGCTTAGTAAAAACTAAGCAAATGTTAGCTATTAATAGCAGTATTACCCTGAACTTTCAAAGGATATCATTAACTCACTAATCCTCCTTCTGACCCATAGTTTCAAATCCTATCATTTACTAGTACATTACTCCTGAGCTTTAGTTTCCATATCCGCAAAATGACTACCATGGAAGTTACCTGACTTTCAAGGGTGTACTGAAGGATTAAATAAGTAGATATAGCTCGCTTCCCTCCCACATCCCAAAGCGAAGATCGCAGAGGAAGGAAATACTTCTAGTGGCTGCAGATACAGTCAGTTTTTCCATTTCTGGCACGTGAGGGGTGGGAGGAAAAGACGACGCAAAGAAGCATATGAAAGGGTCAGAGGTACTAAGTGAAGTCCCCAAATACGCTAACGTGGCAGAGTGACCAGAGCGCTAGACCACTGGGGACCTGACCCCGTGCAATTCCCCTCCCGTGTCCCAAGGAGCCTTCCCAAGTGAGCCGAGTTATTTCAGAAACACCATGAGGCAATTCTCATGAGGCAATGGGTCAGGAATGCAGCGCTGAGCCCGGCCGCTGGCGTCCGCGGTTCCCCCAGCGGCTCTACCTGCCCCAGTCCTCACCGGCATCCCCAGTGCTGAGAAGGCCGGAACTCGGGGAGGCAGGAAATGAATGGGGACCCGCAGGGTGGGGGCGCGGTGCGGCCGGCCCCTGGTCCCGGGAGGCGGATTAGGAGGAAACCTGCCCCACGCCAATTTGGGGCGAGAGTCCGAAGCCCGGCCGGGGCGCCCCCTCCCGGATGGGGCTGACCGAACGCGGCGGGGGACAGGCCGAGGCCGGGGTCGGGCCCCTCGGGGCTCCTCACCTCCGCGATGTCATGTTCCTCCCGCCCTCCGGCTCCGCGACGGACCCGCTCCTTGCTCAGGCTCAGCTGGGCTTGGTCACATCGGGCTGGCCCGAGGGAGGCCCGCTCGGGACCGGACGCGGGACAGAGCCAGCCGGCCGCGCGCAGACCCCCCTCCAGGCCTGGGGATCCCGGAGATTGTGCAGCCGCCCCCTGGTCCGGCTCGCTCCTCCTCCTCCCCCGCCCTCCGCCACCGTCGCCACCGTGACATCACCGCTCGCGACGCCCGCCGCCACTTCCTACTTCCCGTCAGCAGAGAACTGGACGGGAGGGCTGGCCAGGGGTTTCCTGGAGGCTCCACAGTGCAGTTCCCGAAGCACCCTGAGTTCCTTGAATCCTCGGACTCAGAGTGCGAGCTACGCGCTCGGCCTTCTACCGGCTCCACAAAACATCGCGTCTGCTCCCGCCTTGTCAGTTTCCATCCCCACGCTGACTGCCAAATCGAGTTTCATTCATTTCATTCCGCAAATTGCCGCTCCACTTATTTGCTATGTCACTTTGAGAAAGTTAAACTTAAGGTCTCCGAGCCTCAGTTTCCTCCATTCATTTATTTCTATAAAATATTACTATTACTTAGCCAGGCGTTGTGGCGGGCACCTATAGTCCCAGCCACTTGGGAGGCTGAGGCAAGAGAATCGCCTAAGCCCAGGAGTTGGAGGTTGCTGTGAGCTGTGACGTCCCGGCACTCTACCGAGGGCAATAGAGTGAGACTCCGTCTCTACAAAAAATATATATGTATATATTATATATATTACTATTACTGTTGTACTTTCTTCATAGAGTTATTGTGAAAATTATATAGGTAAAATGGTTAGAAATGGGCCTGGTCTATATGTTATGTGTTGTTGTAATTAAGCATCTGTTGAGGGTTTTCTACCTGCTTGTCTCTGTTTGTAGCTGCAAACGAAAAAAACACAAAAATTCCATTGTTCTTCTGGAAGGAGCTTCAGTAATCCGGATAAACTTTTTTTTTTTTTTTTGGAGACAGAGCCTCAAGCTGTACCCCTGGGTAGAGTGCTGTGGCATCACAGCTCACAGCAACCTCCAACTCCTGGGCTCAAGCGAGTCTCCTGCCTCTGCCTCCCAAGTAGCTGGGACCACAGGCACCTGCCACAACGCCGGGCCATTTTTTGGTTGCAGCCGTCATTGTTGTTCCGCAGACCTGGGCTGGATTCCAACCCGCCACCTTAGGTGTACATGGCTGGCGCCCTAGCTGATTGAGCCACAGGCACAGAGTCCAGATAAACTTTTCTATTTATTTATTTATTTATTCATTTTTGAGACAGAGTCTCCGACATCTGGGCTAGAGTACAGTGGTCTGGGCTTCAGCAATCCTGCCCCAACCTCCTGAATAGCTGAGACCAGCAAGCACGCTAATTTTTTCTATTTTTGTAGGCATGGAATCTCTCTTTTGCTCAAACTGGTCTTCAACTTCTAAACTCAAGAGATTCCCCTGTCTCCTCCTCCCAGAGTGCTAACGTAACAGCCATGAACCACCATACCCTACGTTTTGTTTTGTTTTGTTTTGGAGCCAAAGTTTCTCTTTCTTCCCAGGCTAGAGTGCCAGTGAGTGGCCTTAGCCTAGCTCACAGCAACCTCAAACTCCTGGCTCAAGCAATCCTGCTGCCTCATCCTCCCAAGTAACTGGGACTACAGCTGCCCACCACAACACCTTGCTAATTTTTCTATTTTTAGTACAGAAAGGGTCTCATTCTTCCTCAGGCTGCTCTCAAACTCCTGAGCTCAAGCAATCCTCCCACTACGACCTCCCAAGAGTGCCAGGATTACAGGCATGACCCACCGCACCTAACTTATATAACTTTTTTTGTCTTCAAAAATAACAACCTTCACCATGTTTTTTGATTCATTTTGCTGTGATACAACCAACCTATATATTTTTAGAGAGAGAGTCCTGCTTTGTCACCCTGGATGGACTTGAATCCCTGGCCTCAAGCAATCCTCCCATCTCAGCCTCCCAAAGTGCTAGAATTGCTGACGTAAGCCAACACACCCAGCCAGATAAACTTAAAACAAATATATATGCACATTTATATACATACATAAAGGTAAAAAAATTTTTTTTGAGACAGAGACAGAGTCTCACTTTGTCAACCTCAGTAGAGTGCCATGGTGTCCCACCTCACAGCAACCTCAAACCCTTGGGCTCAAGCAATTCTCTTGCTTCAGCCTCCCAAGCAGCTGGGACCACAGTGCCCGGACATTTTTTTTCTTTGGTTGTAGTTGTTATTGTCGTTTGGCAGGCGCAGGCCAGATTCGAACCCACCAGCTCCAGTGCACGTAGCTAGCACCCTAGCTGCTGAGCTCAGGCGCCAAGCCCATAAAGATAAAATTTTTAAATATGTATAATGATATTTAAATATATTTGCTACATGGAGATACAAAGAGTTATGGAGAAAAAACAAGAGGATGGGAATATAGTATTTGAAAGGATGGTTGGGGGCAATACTCATAGTTCAGTGGGTAAGGTGCCAGCCACATACACACAGACTGGAGGGTTCGAACCTGGCCCAGGCCAGCTAAAACAACAATGACAACTGCAACAACAACAAAAAAAAATAGGCAGGTGTTGTGGTAGGCATCTGTAATCCCAGGTAGTTGGGAGGCTGAGGCAAGAGAATCACTTAAGCTTAAGAGTTTGAGGTTGCAGCTCGGCGCCTGTGGCTCAAGCGGCTATGGCGCCGGCCACATACACATAAGGTGGCGGGTTTGAATCCAGCCCAGGCCCGCCAAACAACAATGGCTGCAACCAAAAAAAAATAGCCAGGTATTGTGGTGGGCACCTGTGGTCCCAGATACTTCGGAGGCTGAGGCAGGAGACTCGCTTGAGCCCAGGAGTTGGAGGTTGCTGTGAGCAGTGAAGCCATGGCACTCTACCCAGGGGCTCAGCTTGAGGCT